CCCATAGGGTTTCCAAGGCTGTCAGTCTTTATGGAAGCAGACTGCTTCATCTCTCTCCCCAGGAGCAGCTGGCGGGTTCAAACCGCTGGCCTTTTCATTAGCAGCCCAATGCTTCAAGCACTACACCACTGTTATTGTTGTTGTTCTTATGTGCCGTCGAGTCGGACCTGATTCATAGCGACCCCTCCGAGGAATTTCACTACAGAGTAGTGATTTCCAAGGCAGTATCACTACAGAACTCGGAAGGAAGGTTGGGCAATCCTACTTCCATAGTGATACTGCTTCGGAAACCCAAGGAGGGGTCGCTATGAGTCGGGGCCGACTCAATGGCAAATAACAACAACAAAACAACAACTTTATATGGAAAGGAAAGAAATCTCAGATAAGCAAAGCATTACTGAAGAAGAACAAAGAAGGTCACATACTTGGATCTCAAAACCTACTATATAGCCAGAGTAGTCAAAACTACCTGGTACTGGTACAATGACAGATAATATAGACCAATGGAATACAATTGAGAACCCAGAAACAGATCCACTGACCTATGGTCAGTAGATATTTAACAAAGGGCTGAAATCCATTTAATGGGGAAGAGAATGTCTGTTTAATAAATGGAGCTGGCAAAACTGGATATCCATTTGCACAAAAATGAAACAAGATCTGTACTTCACACCATACACAAAAACTAATGGCAGATGGATCAAAGACTTAAATGTGAAACCCAAACTATACAGTCTCAAGGAAAAACTAGGGGCAAATTTAGGGGTCCTCATATATGGCATAAATAGACTATCAAGCATAACCCAAAATGCACAAACAGCAGAAGAGAAACTAGATGAATGGGACCTTCTAAAATTAAAATGTTATGTGTTTCCAAACACTTCTCCAAAAGAGTAAAAAGAGAACCTACAGATTGGGAAAAAATATTCAGCAATGATATATCTGACAAGGGACTTAGCTCTAGAATTTATAGAAAACTCCAACACCTCAACAACAAAAAGACAAATAATCCAAATAAAAAATGGACAGAAGACATGAATAGACACTTCACCAGAGGATATTCAGGCAGCCAACAAATATACCAAGAAATGCTCATGATCATGAGCCATTAGAAAAATGCAAATCAAAACAACAATGAGATACCATCTGGCCCCAGTACTAGTAGCAAAGTTCAACAAGACAGAAAATAATAAATGCTGGCAAGAATACAGAGATTGGGACTCTCATACACCGCTGGTAAAACTGTAAAATGATACAACCACAGTGGAAAGCACTATGGTGATTCCTTAAAAAGCTAGACTTAGAAAACCATTTGACCCACAACTCCATTACTAGGTATATATCCTAAAGAAGTGAGAGCCAGGACAAGAACAGATATATGCACACCCATGTTCATCACAGCACTATTTACAACAGCAAAAAGATGGAAACAATCTAGGTGCCCATCAGCAGAAGAATGGATAACCAAACTATGGTACATACACACAATGGAATACTACGCAACCCTGAAGAATACCGTACAATCAGCAAAACATAACATGGATGAACTTGAAGGACATTATGCTGAATGAAAGTCAATCACAGAAGGACAAATATTTTATTAGTCTGTCATGGTAATAAATCAAGGCAGGTTTATATATGGAAGGAAATTTTCTTTGTTGGTTACCAGGGGTGGAAGGAGAGAGAACACTGTTAAATAGGTAGAGACAAGTATTGATTTGGGGGAAGAGAAGGACAATGTACCAAATGTGAATGATCGACATGGTGGCACTGAGGAAGAGGAAGACATAGAGAGGTGCATGGAAGGTACAGACAACAAAGATGAACACTTTTGCACATATAGTACTGCATTGTCAGTGAAGGCAAACACTGATACATGAGAGGACAGATGAATAGACATGCTGAATTATTAGGTATATAGGGGGGAGTGTGCCCATGACCATGTACAGGGTTGGCAGACAATGTTTTTACAAGTGTATCTGTATGTTCTGTAAGAATTCCCATGTATATAGTAGAATTGACAAGGGACAAGATTGTAGTTATAGCCATAGCCAGCTAACCCAGAGGGAGCAAATAATTGGACTTGTGGGCTCAGGACCATAGTCTCAGGGGACATTAAGCTCAACTGGCATACATACTACACAAAAACATTGTTCCACATCCTACTTTGACAAGTAGCGACTGGGACCTTGAAAGTCTGCAAGCGGCCATCTAGATGCAACAATGGGTCTTTCCTCATCCAGAGTAAAGTAGAATGAAGAAAACCAGACTCTTAGAAAAAATTAGTCCAAGGACTGGTACACCATGCAATCCACAGCTTATATGACTACGAGACGAGAAGAACTAGATGGTGCTCGGCTACCACTGTCAACCACTTGGAGGGGGATCTATGTAGGAGATCCTGGATAGAGTCGGAAAACAATGTGGAACAAAACTCAAAATCATAAAAAAAAAAAAAAAAAGAAGGACCAGGTTTGCTGGTCTGATAGAGCCTGGTATAAAACCCTTGAAACTACAGCCCCTAGCTGTCCTTCTGGTCTGGAATTGAACTCACTCATGTGGCTTCCAGCCAAGTAACAGACAGGCACATGCGCTGAACATTTACATTAAGTAGACACATTCCTTGGAGAGATCAATCATGAGAGAATAAAAGGGCTGTGTATGCACAGCGAGGCTGCTCTGGGGGCAGGAATGCATGGGAGGGAAGGACATAGGGAAGAGGTAACTATGGGGAGGAAGTGGTGGAGGATTGTTGCTTTGTGGGAAATCGCAGTCAATGCCATGAGACAAAGAGTATGTGAGTTGCTGTATAGAAAGTGAATTTGCTCTGTAATCTTTCACCCAAATCAGAATAAAAATTTTTTTAAAAAACTTTCCCCAGACATCATGCTCAACTGGCATAACATACTACACAAAAACATTGTTCTACATAACTTTGGTTAAGTAGTGATTGAGGCCTTAAAAGCTTGCAAGCAGCCATGTAGATCTGACAATGGGTCTTTCCTCGTCCAGAGCAAAGAAGAATAAAGAAAATACCAAAGATGCACGGAAACAATTAGTCCAAGAGACTAGTGGACCATGTAAACCTCAGCCTACATGACCCTGAAACCAGAAGAACTAGATGGTGCCCAACTACCACTGTCAACCACTCAGATAGAGATCAGTATAGGAGATCCTGGATAGAGTGTGAGAAAAATGTGAAACAAAATTCAATACCATTAAAAAAAAAAAACCTGTTTTACTGGTCTGATAGAGACTGGTGAAACCCCTGAGACTATGGCCCCCAGTCACCCTTCGGGCCTGAAATTGAACTCACTTTCGTGGCTTCCAACCAAACAATAGACAGGCATATAAGATGAACATTTATACCGGGTAATTCATTAGATCACCCAACCATGGGAGATCAGAAGGGTAGTATTTGCACAGGGTGATAGCTCAGCGAGCAGGAATCCATAGGAAAGGACATAGGGACAAAGTAACCACAAGGAGGAAGTGGCAAGAGAGATATTACATTACGGGGACTGCAATCAATGTCATGAGACAAAATGTATATGAAGTGTTGTATGGAAAATGAAATTGCTCTATAAATTTTCAGCCAAATCACAATTTTTAAAAAAAAAAGTCTCCTCAGTATTTCACTATATACCATGACTTAACAAGTTCAAGCTCAAGCTATCAGGTAAAAATTAAGTTGAAACACCAAAATCAAAACAAAAACCCTCTAAAAAGTTCTCACTGATCAAAAATTCCTTTAAGTTTTTCATTCCTATTCAAAAACCAAATCCACTACCATTGAGTTGATTCTCAGTCACAGCCACCCTAAAGGACAGGGTAGAACTGCCTCGTAGGGTTTCTAAGCCTGTAAATCTTTATGGAAGCAGACTGTCACATCTTTCTCCCACAGAGTGGCAGGTGGATTCAAACTGCCGATCTTTCAGGTAGTAGCCAAGCACTTAACCACTGCACTACCAGGGTTCAAGATCACACCTATTTGGCAGCAGTGTTAATTTGGCTTTATGGCAAGAACTGATTTTCTTTTTACTTTCCACAAGACCTTAAAACAGTTAACTGTCTTAACATCGATTACATAAAGAAGCAAAACACATTTCTCTTAAACCAACAACAAATTTTTTGTTTTATAAAATTATTAAATTCTTCGTGGATACTAAACTCCAGTTAGAAACATCAGTTTTCTAGTTTTTTACTATATACTCAATTATTTCTTAAAAACTAAACTATAAATATTATACAAATATAGTCATATCTATATAAGGAGTCCTGGTAGTGCTGCAGTTAAGGCATTCCACTGCTAACCAAGAGGTCAGTGGTTTGAACTCACCAGCTGCTCCGTGGGACAAAGATGGGGCAGTCTGCTTCCATAAAGATTTACAGCCTTGGAAATCCTATGGGGCCATTCTAGTCTGTCATATGGGGTCACTATGATTCAACTTGATGCCACCCAACAACAAATTCCAACAAAAATAAACCTGAAATTTCGTTTACTCTGAAGTCTCAGTAAAACTCATGAAGTAACTCATAAAGCAGTATATCTTCCTCCTGACTTTCTGGAGGCTTTAAGTCAGGATATTAAACCAAGATTAAACTAAGAGCTTACCTGAAATGCACTCAGCAGGAAAGCCTTTCGAAGAAAGGATATCAGCCAAATGTTGTGCTCTATGAGAAAAAGAAAGGGTTAAAATTTTATAAACAATTACAAGCCCATGCCTAACTTTTCATTTCACAAATTACCCAGATGACCTTTTAAAGATGCATTACCTACTGTGCAAATTAGAAAAGACTAAGGCTTGATTAAATGGAATTCTGCTGAACAGTTCCTGTAAATGTTGAACTTTTTCCTCAAAAATCTTATGGGCCAAAGGGTATGAAGTAACAACTCTGTAATACTGCTTCAAACCTACAAAATCAAAAGTCTTCAGTTAAAACAAAGACAAGTCATACCGTATTATCTTAATAGCAAATATGAAAACAGCAATAGGCAACTGGGCAAGGGAAAGCTCAGAATACCATGAGCAACAAACCAATAATGTAAATTTCCAAAAATCTGTACATACCTATGAGACTTGGATCATTGGCATTTAGTCTTACAAAAGTGGGATCTCTCATGTATTTTGTCAAAGCATTAGCCAAACACTCAGGGTAAGTAGCTGATACTGCCAACATCTGCTTACTGGCAGGCAAAGAAGAATAAATCCAACTGGTAAACAGAAGAAAAACAAACACTACTGAAATTAATCAAAGAGTAATCAATCACATGGAAAAGCTCAAGATAGATACTTTGGAGTACCATTTTAATAGTTACTTATTTTTCTTACTTTATTTGCTCCTGGAAGCTGCCTTCTTCTAAAAGCTTGTCTGCTTCATCAAGAATAAAAAGACGTATACTGGCTGGGTTCAGGTAGTCAAGTTCTAGCAGCTGTTTAATTCTGCCTAAATTCCACAAAAATACACATGGAAATATGTATGATGCATTAAATTGGTGTAAATCTCTGGCAAGGCCATTAATCTACTCAGATTGCACTGCTGGATATTCTAAACCAAATCTCATTATGCATTTACACACAAATTTGAAATCCTGAGTTCTGATCTTATCTCAATCCATTATTTCTCCCTCTCATTTCATCACCAATACGTATGGAAAAGTAACAGTATACTGATAAAAAAAATACTAAGATACTAAATACTAGTTTCTGATTCTGATTAGTAATATGTAGCCAAATGATTAACAAAGAAGCCAAAGGATAATCTGAATCCTTGGCTTAAAAGGACTTCCTGCAAGTCATCTCATCCCTCCTCTCCTCAGAAGCCTATCCCTTACATTCTTAAATACCCATAAAGAGAAGATTTCATAAATTCCGTTGGTAATCAGCCATGTGTCTATAACTCACTTGCTAATGCTCTTTAATTCTAATCTCAAATAATGATCACAGTTATCCAGGACTCCAATATCATTACTGTTATATTAGAAGTGTTCAGTTCCTTAAAAGCCCCAGCTAGCAACAAGCATTGATATCTCACCAGGAGATCCAACAGCAATGTGACACTTTTTAAGTCTGGTTTTGTCTTGCGATAATGGAGTCCCTCCAATAAAGACATGACACTCTAAGCCTTCCATTTTGATTCCAATGGCTGTAATAACAGAATGGATCTGAACAGCAATTTCTCTTGTGGGCGCCAAAATCAGAATCTAAAAAAAACATAAAAATAACTTAAATAAGCCAGAAGAATAAATACATGTGATTGGCACATTCATTATATCATGAACTATTCATTATGCAACCATTTAAAATGATGACAGAGTTTTTATTGACAAAGGAAAAGATTCCATTCATTCATTCATTCACATATCCACTCAGCAAATATTACATGAGAATTAAGTGCTAGGCAACTTATAAAGCAAAAAAAAAAATGAAACTCATTGCCATTGAGTCAATTCCAACAGATGGTGATTCATGTGTTACAGAGTAAAACTGCTCCATAAGGTTTTCTTGGCTGCAATCTTTCCAGAGGCAGATCACCAAGCCTTTGTTCTGCAGTGCCACTGGGTGGGTTCAACCTCTCAACCTTTATATTAGCAATCAAGCACAAAACATTCGTACTACCTAGGGAGGTCAGGCAACATATTAGCTGCTAGGAAATCACAGTTAACAACATAAAATCCTTGATTTCATGGTACTTTCATTCTAGCATAAAGCAAAAACATATATAAATAATGGCAGGTACTAAACACTATGAAGAAAAACCTAACAACATAAGGAGAAAGAAATGACAAAAGAAAAGTAGTCATTTTAATGGGGTGCTCAAGGAAGGCCCCTCTCAGGAGTTAACATCTGAGCAGAGTCATGAATGTAAAGCGTAAAGTAAACCTGTCTGTATGACACCTGGGCCAAATGTTTTCAAGAACAAGTTATCGATCTTGATGTGTTTGTAAAATAATGAGGCCACGTGGCTGGACAGCACTGGGAAGGAAGTTGAAGAGGTCAGAGATCTAGCTCCAGGAGTTAGATCATGAAAGGCTTTATAAACCAGAGTAAGAGCTTTCCCATATAACTATTGCAGAAAGGAAGGTGGAACTATGTGTTCTCAACTATGAGAAGCAAAAAACACTTGGGGAAAAAAAAAGGACTAGGAGAAAATATGCCAAAACTGTTAACAGCTGTTTCTCTCTGGACAGGTTAAGATTATATATTTTTTCCTGGTACTACTTCTCCTTGATTTTTCTAAATTTTCCAAATTTTTAAAAATGAACATGCATAACTTAGATACAAAAAAAAATGTAATGTGTATATAACGTTCACATTACAAAAATCTTAAATTTAAAAAAACTATTTTATTTATGGAACTTATTCACACTTTTAGCACTTAACCTGCTGCCAGAGTGCTCATAGTTAGAAGCCAAAAGCTCAAATAGATCTTAATCCAGAAACAGAAAAGCCCAGGTCCTTGGTAATAAAGGATTTCCTATGACTAGCATCGACCAGGATTCAGTGGATATAAGGTAGGACTCAAAAACCTTCCCAGGTGACGGATGAGTATTCCTGGTTAAAAACAACAGTATTAAAGGATCATTATCATCAGATATAAATAACTGAGAACATGAAATAAAGTCTGTCCTAACTCTTGAGTTACAAACTAAGACGATGAGGATCCTATCTGATAGTGCCTGGCATACTGTTTCTACACAATATTGACTCAACAAATCTTTGTTGAAGAAATGACTTCCCCAAGCCCAAATCTCCTGCTAATTTGGGTAAAGCAGTCTTAGAACTATTCCAAGAAAACCTAGAAGATGGGAATTCAATATGATACATTCACACATCTTTAAAAACCACCTGGAATTACCAGCAATAACAGCCAGAGTACATCAGCATAAATCAAATCAAAAGCTAAGTTATGCCTCAGCAAGAAAAAGAATAATGAATCCTTGTCTGTAGTCTCAAGTCACAACAAAACTGACACACATGGTAGGCTTACTGTATTTATGATGTGGTAATAATGTAAAATTCCAGATTTCAAAGACCGATTATGTATCTATGGTAACCATCCATACCACTACCACTCAACAGCCTTAATGTCTCCTTTACTTTCATAATTTACATATGGTTTAACTCAATCATTCACACCTGAGTCCTCTGAGCTAAACTCACCTGTGTACTTAAGTTTTCAAGAACAAGAGAGTCCAAAGCAATGGTGGAGAATACACAGGTTTTCCCAGTGCCAGACTTAGCTTGAACAATTAAATCTGAGAATAGGGGGAAAAAAAAATTGTCACTAGCGAGTACTAAGTGAAGATGCTTAGATGCCTACATGGAATCTGAGAACTAGAAACGGTGTCCAGAGATCACCTAGTTGGCATCTGCATTTTCAGTTTACCCTCAAAAACGCACGAGGCCATTCCAGAACCACGCCAGGTCTCTGAACCTCTACCATTTACCTTCTCAAGCTTATAATCACTTACCAGTACTGAAAAGGATTAACTATCTTCAAATCCAAAACTACGCCCTTTGTTTTACAAAAGAGGAAACAGAGGCTCCAAGGCATTCAGCGCCTTGTCCTAGGCACAGCGGCCGACCAGGGGCTCCCTCCCAGTCCACGCCGCGGGCCCCCTATTCCGCTGTCCCATCTGGCTTTCTCAGAGCCCCCCCTCACCAAGGCCGCAGCGCCCCAGCGGGATGGCCTTGAGCTGCACCGGTGAGGGCCGCTCGAAGCCGGCCGCCCGCAGGCCCTCCAGCACCGGCCGCGACAACAGTAGCGACTCGAAATCCGCCGGCTTGGCCAGTAACACGTCCCCCGTGCGGGTCCGCGAGCCGCCAATGTCGTGAGCCGTCCGCAGGCTGCGCGCCGGCCCGGGGACCGGCTCCGGAGCCGGGACAGAGGTGGTCATAGGCTCTCCCGGTATAGCTGTCTCCACGGTCGCTAAGGCCGCGGGGACATCAACCGTCGCCGCCATGGTACACGCGCCGCCGGATCTCGCGGTACTTGAGACGAAATGGCGAGCTTGAGGGCGAGAAAAGAGAAAACTTTATTGGCAGTCTTCCCGTGACGATGTTGACCCGCCTGGCCTACGAGAGAAGTGGAGGGATGGAGGGACGGAAGCCGGAAGCTGGAAAGACTCTGGGACAACCTCAGAAAAACTGTGGGCTGAGGAAGGCGGGAAATAAGAAAAGGGGAAAGATGAGACTACCGGTATGTCTCAGCCTCTGGCCTGCAGAGGGCGCCGCGTGCTCACGGTGGGGGCACTGCCCCGCCTCCCGGCAGTCTTCCGGTTAGGTCCGCCCAGCCCAGCCCGGGCGTCGCCACCGTACAAACCCTCTCTTTGTGATGCTCGGGGTGCGTCACACTTCCCCGCCTCTGAACCTTGGCTCTCTGTTCCGTCAGCCTGAATCCCACTCCGCCATCACCTCTTCTGGAGCCCTCTCCTCAACGCGCTGTCTCTTGTGTTTGCAGAGAGCGCTTGGAGTAGAACAAGACTAAGGATTTTTATCATGTTGTATGTTACAAGTCTCTGCAGAACAGCTTTTTTCATCCCTTGGTCCCCAGGCCCTGGCACAGTACCTGGCACATGGTGAACTAAGAACTGGAATTGAATATTGAGTTGACACTGACAACTCCCAAACCTCAAATCTCTCTCTTTACTCTAAACTTACATTTTCATTCATCTGCCTCATCATTTCTGCCTAAGATGTCTAATACCTCGCGGTGTCTTGTATGCCTTGCTCCATCATTTCATGGGTTTGCAACTAGCAGTCTTTATGACTTTTTCTTATTTTAGGTCTCTACTGAAATACCTCTGGTAGCATAGTGCCTAAGGCACTTGACTGCTAACCAGAAGACTGGCGGTTCAAACCCGCCAGCCACTCCTGGGAAGGAAGGTTGGGCAATCCTACTTCCGTAGTGATACTGCCTCGGAAACCCAAGGAGGGGTCGCTATGAGTCGGGTTTGACTCCACGGCAAATAACAACAACAACAACAACTCAAATATCACCTTTCAAAGAAGTCTTTCCTGAAGTCCCTAAAACAGCACCTCATCCCTGCCTTTCCCATCATTATAGTCCCTTGTTCTGCTTTATTTTTCTTCATAGCACTTATCACTACCTGATGTTATATGTTTATGCCTGTATTGTATGTCTCCCGTACTTCATGAGAACAGGAACCTTTTTTGGTTTTCTGCTCTACCCCTAGTAGGAAAAACAGAATCTGACACGTGGTAGGTACTCAATATTTATTGAATGAATGAGCACTTATAACAAAGACTTAGTCACAATCCAAAACTTAAATATTTTCTGAAAACAAACCTTACGATTCCAAACCTAAAGCTATTCTGCACCCAACATCAATCTATTCCTGTGTCCTCAAATCATAATCCTAGCCCTTAACCCCCACCTCCTTCACACAGTAGTGATTCCAGATTCCAAACAATGTGAGGCATTGGCCTAGTAATCCCATTGGAAGGGAGTCCTACTTAGATGTTTGCTCAGAAATTTGCAAAACCTTGAGAAAATGTCAGCTGTCCATATGAAAGAAGGGGGACTGATGATGGGGGTGCATTAAAGCCCCCAGGCTTCCACTTTGTACTTCCATCTCTTTTTATCTACCTAATTAATCCCCCAAGTCACATCTTCTACTATCCTTCCCCCCTTTCTAACAATACACTGAGTTCAGGTGATTTTGCCTCCAAATATTTCATCCATTCCTTCCCATAGCACCTGCCCTGTTTTAGCACCCTTCACTATCCTGAACTATTGCAATAACCTCTTGATTGGTCTCCCTGCTAGAATCTCTTTCTCTATCCTAGCTGCTGGAATGATCTTTCTTAAATAGATAACTTTGGTTGTTTTGGACCAGCTTCGGATCTTGCTCCTTTTGACAACCTTATTTATTTCCCACCCTATGCTCCCACCTCACACTAAATAATTCTTGTCCAGCTCTTAGCATATTGTGTTTACTTGTTTACATGCTTGCCCATCCCCCTAAATTATGAGCTTCTCAATGATAGGAATATTGTCACCCCAACCTCTCTCCAGCCCAGTACCAGGCACCTGGTGGACCTAATAAATGTTGAATGGCTGACAGTTTCTTGCTCAAATATCTCTTGCTGGGTCCCCAAGTGCACAGCAGTGGTTCTACAGAACTCAAACCAATCACTGTCAAAGAACCTAGTTCTCATCCCAAGAGAAACAGAAAGACTACTTTTCCAGGAAAGAACATTTATAGTTTTGTAGGCATTCTACAGTTGCATTTGTTGTTTATGATGTTCTATAGACAAAAATATTGCAGCAATGTTATTGGGAATACATTTTATTGCTATGGCTAAAAACACAAATCAATTTTAAAAAATCTCTCAATAGTTAAAAAGAATAATAATATTGTTGACCATAATTTTCAGTGCTATAGAGATAAAACACAAAGGTAAGAGATCATTTAATAAGTAGGAAAGGTGTAAGACAAAAACATATGGAAGTCAAACACTAGGGTGGACTTTGTCTGCCTCTTAGCACCCACAGGATAAAGTCACAATTGGACCCAGCCTCTTCTCAGGCCTGAAAGCCCACCTACCTCCTCCAAACAGACCAAGCTACATCAACTTCTTAAAGCTCATGGCTCATAGTATCTCAGCACCTTTGTGCTGTTCTTCTACTCAGAGATCCTCTTACCTTGTAAATCTGAGAGCTTCCTCTTTCCTTCAAGTCAATGGAGACTAATGGAGGGAGAGATCCCTGTGAATGGAAGAGGTAAGAGTGAGACTTGAATTCAGAATGAATGCTGAGCATTTCCAGTCATTTTGCATTGGAGGCTTCTGAGCCCAGGGAGAAGGGAAACAATGCATATAGTGGGTATCAGGCGGTCACCCTGGGTGTGAACATCAGTGGAGACATGTAGAAAAAAGGAAAGGAAACTATGGTTTGAAAGTGACTTTCTCTCACATGACCCTGAAAGCAACAAAAGGTAGGCAATTGTTATGTGCATTCAATGCACAAACATCACTTTATTCATGCTGTCAACAAAAATCTTCTGAATACCTACTGTGAATCATCCAAATGCTGGAGATACAAAAATGAGCAAAATAAACAGAGCCTTTGCCATCAAGGAGAAAGATGCTCACAAATAGGTGGTCACATTCACAGTAAAGTGCAGGGGGCCACTGAAGTTGAAGAGGGCCACCTAAGCAAATGGGAACCAAGAAAGGCTTGGCCATCAGGATTAGAAAATAACACCTCAAAATTACAGTGGCTTGACTAAGATAGAATTTTATTTTGCCCTTGTGGAGAGATCTTAAGATAGGATTGATATAGCAGGTCTGTTCACAAAGTTCCCAGGACCTACGCTTCTACTGTTTTAGTCCCAAATGATTGTCATAGCTCCAATCATCACGTCTGCATTCTAGTCATCAGGAAGAAGAGAAGGTCAAAGTAGAAAGCATGGAGTATTCACGCCAGAAGTCTTCTAAGGAAGGTACTGAAAAGCTGCTATACTCCTACTTGGCATCTCTTTCCCAGAACTTAGCCACAGAGTCATATTTACTGGCAAGGACATCTGGGAAGTGTAGTCATTTGTTCGGGCAGTCCATGCCCAACTATGGAGAAGAGGGAGTTCTATTATGATACAAGAAGGGAAAGGACATTGGAGGCAGCTAGCTGTCTCTGCCACATCTTCCCAGTATTGGTGAGAGCCAAAGTAAGACATGAAGAGTAAACAGGAGTCACCCTTATGACAAAAAAAAAAAAAAGTTTCTGTCAAGTTCAACAAGACAGAACATAACAAATGCTGGTGAGGATAGGGAAAGATTAGGACTCTCATACACTGCTGGTGAAACAGTAAAATGTTACAACCACTGTGGAAAGCAGTATGGTGATTCCTTAAAAAGTTGGAATTAGAAATACTATTTGACCCAGCCATTCCATTACTAGGTATATATCCTAAAGAAGTGAGAGCGAGGACAAGAACAGATATATGCACACCCACGTTCATTGCAGCACTATTTACAATAGCCAAAAGATGGAAACAACCTAGGTGTCCATCAACTGAAAAATGGATAGCCAAACTATGGTACATACATAAAATGGAACACTTACGCAAAACTAAAGAATAACACAGAACCTGCAAAACATCACATAACATGGATGAACTTGGAGGACATTATGCAGAGTGAAATAAGTCAAATCACAGAAGGATAAATATTATATTAGTCTTTTTTGTAAAAAGGAAAGGTTTATATATAGAAGGAAATTTTCTTTGTTAGTTACCAAGGGTGGGAGGGGAGGGGAGGGAATACTGTTAGGTAAGTAGAAACAAGTATTGATTTGGGTGAAGAGAAGGGCAATGTACCAAATGTGAGTGATCAACATGGTGGAAGAGGAAGAGGAAGACATAGAGAGGTGCATGGGAGGTACAGACAACAAAGATAAACTCTTTTGTACATATGGTACTGCATTGTGAGTGAAGGCAAACATTGATAGATATAGGTAGATAGATGGGTGGATAGGCTGAACTATTAGGTATGTCTGTGCAGGGGGGAGTGTGCCCAGGACCATGTATAGGGTTGGCAGACAATGTTTCTACAAGTGTATTTGTATGTTCTGTAAGAATTCCCAGGTATATAGTAGAGCTGACAAGGGAGAAGGTTGTAGTCACTTCTTGGTCACAGCCAGCTACCCAGAGGGAGCAAGTAGTTGGACCTGTGGGCTTGGGAACATAGTCACAGGGGACATCAAGCTCAATTGGCATAACATACTACATAAAACATTGTTCCACCTCCTACTTTGGTGAGTAGCGACTGGGATCTTAAAAGCTTGCAAGCGGCCATCTAGATGCAATAAAGGATCTCTCCTTGTCCAGAGCAAAGAAGAATGAAGAAAACCAAAGATTGATGGAAACAATTAGTCCGAGCAACTGGTACACTGGTACACCATGCGATCCTCAGCCTATATGACTATGAGACCAGAAGAACTAGATGGTGCCTGGCTACCACTGTCAACCACTCGGAGGGGCATCTATGGAGGAGATCCTGGATACAGAAGCAGAACAATGTGGAACAAAACTCAAAATCATTTGGAAAAAAAAAAAAAAAGGAGGGGGACCCACCAGGTTTGCTGGTCTGATAGAGCCTGATGGAACCACTGAGACTATGGCCCCTAGCGGCCCTTCAGGTCTGAAATTGAACCCACACCTGTGGCTTTCAGCCAAACAAAAGATAGGCATATGAGGTGAACATTTACATTAAGTAGATACACTCCTTGGAGAGAACGATCATGGGAGAATAGAAGGACCTGTGTATGCACAGGGAGACAGCTCAGGGGGCAGGAGTGCATGGAGGGAGGGACACAGGGAAGAAGTAACTATGGGAAGGAAGTGGGAGGGGAGCTGTTGCATTGTGGGAAATTGCAGTCAATATCATGAGACAAAGTGTATGTGGGCTGCTGTATGGAAGGTGAATTTGCTCTGTAAACTTTCACCCAAATTACAATTAAAAAAAAAAAAGCAGTTGCTGTGAAGCTGATTCCAACTCAGGATGAACACATGTGTATAGAGCAGAAGTGCTGCATAGGGTTTTCAAGGCTGTGATCTTTTGGGAGCAGACCACCAGGCCTTTCCTCCGAGGCACCCCTGAGTGGGTTTGAACTGCCGGCCTTTCAATTACCGGATGTACACTTACCTTTCCGCACCACCCAGGGACTACTCCTAGCTTTATGACAGAGAAGGGAAAAGTGGATGTCTAGAGTTTGTTTTTTTTGTTTTGTTTGTTTTTGAGAGATGAGGAAGATCATAGCACATTGAGGGGACTAAAAGAGCTTAGAATGTAAATGGGAGAATGAGCTATGATGAGGCAGTAGAGGTGAGCTTTAGGCCAGTTTATACAGTGTCTGGATTTTAACCTAAATGCCTTCTATGTGTCAGATGTTGAACAAGATGCCACCTTCAAGGCAAGAATAAGTAATTGGCTCAAGGTCACAGAGCTAAGAAATGAGACTGGAATTCAGGTCTATCTAACAGCAAAGTCTAGGCTCTTTCTATCCCCTGTCCTTAGAAAAGTTGACAATCTAGCTAAGAAAATGAGCAAGCATGAATTATGCAAGTAGCACCAACCAGTGTAAGATCATATGCAGTACTGGCATTTTTCAGAGCTTTAGTTTCTCCAAGTGTGGGAGAAAGTGAGAACTTCTCAGAAGTTGGAGAAGACAGCTTTTGGTCTTGGGAGAGCAATAGCTTTCTTCCCTACATCCTTGCCTCCACCCAAGATAGCAACACCAGGAAACAGCTCAAGTCCAGTGAATGACGCAGTGGGGCCAATTGTCTGAGCTGGTCTTGAAGGTTGGGTAAAGAGGCCATCAGGCAGTGGGGATGGAAGGAGAGAACTCACCAGGCAGATTGGTCTTAGAATGACATTCTGGTACATAGGGAACAGTTTGTGCAGAGGCATGGAAGCACGAAAAATCCATCATTTAGGGAAAGTACAGCTTTTAATGTGAACGGAGTTAGATGTGGCAGCAATTACCAGGAAACGAGGCTGCAGAGATATTTTGGTCCCACATTATGGAAGATCTTGTCTGCTGCCAGAAGGAATACATAATGAGTATGTTATGTTCTCCCAAGGTGGGATGGGTAGTGTTATGTAACAGTAAAGAGAAATATGGTTGGAAATGTAGATTGGGGCTTGATTAACAAGGCTCAGGAGTTTGGATTTTAACTTACACACATAGAGAATAACATAAATTGGTGATCTAATTTGAGGCAGGTAACTACAAGGTCTGAGGCCCTGGGTGCTACAAATGGTTAACATGCTTGTTTGTTAACTGAAAGGTTGGAGGTTCAAGCCCAACCCAGAGTTGCCTTTAATAAAAGGCCTACACCTTGTTTAGCATAAAAAGAATGAGAACATCAAAGACTCATAGTAACAATTAGTCCAAGGGACTAGTGGACCATTTAAACCTCAGTCTACATGACCCTGGCACCAGAGGAACTAGATGGTGCCTCACTACCACTGTCAATCTCTCAGAAAGGGATCAAAATATATCCTGGATAGAGTGGGAGAAAAATGTGGAACAAAACTCAAAAGCATTTAAAAAAAAAAAAAAAAAAAAAAAGCTTATTGGTCTGATAGAGACTAGTGAAACCTCCAAGATTATGACCCTTAATCACTCTTCAGGCCTGCAATTGAACTCACGTCTGTGGCTTCCAGCCAAACAAGAGACAGGCCTACAAGGTGAACATGTATACCAGGTAGGCATAGCCCTTAGAACAATCAACTACAGGAAATCAGAAGGGCAGCATTTGCATAGGGAGATAGCTCAGAGAGTAGGAGTGCATAGGAAAGAAGGGCTCAGGGGAAAGTAACCACAGGGAGGAAATGACAAGAGAGCTGTTACATTATGAGGATTGTAATCCATGTTGTAAAACAAAATGTGTATGAACTGTTGAATGGAAAACAGATTTGCTCTGTAATCTTTCACCCAAATCACAATTCAGAGAAAAAAAAAAAAAACACCTGGTGGTCTATTTCCAAAAAGTCACCTATTGAAAACTCTGTGGAGCACAGTTCTATTTGACATTCATGGGGTCACCATGAGTCAGAACTGACTCAGCGGCGACTGATTTAACTGCGAAGCCCACTATCTGCAATCTTTTACATATAACAACAACTCCTGGCTCTTTTAGGAGCTGGTACACTGCTTTCTGAGTACCAGTGCTCCCTGTACGCTGCTTATCCAGCAAACTATGATTAAGGATGTGTCTCCTAGCTCCCTTCCCCAGACACGGTTATCTTTTTCTTCTATAGCCTTCAGTTCATCTGCTCAATAGACCAGCACTATCAATAAATTTAAGCTACACAAGTTTATCAAGTAAAATATCTGGCCTTCTGGGTAAAATTTATGGTTTTATGACCCATTCAATCCTAGTTGGCTACTCCCCAACATGGAGAATAACCATTTGGACATGTGCTCCATTGCCTATCTCTAGTACTTTTACAGGCAGAAATTAGCCAGGGAGAAGTAGCAATGGCCTGAGACTCTGCCCTCTCCACAGCCACCTCTGCCATTGGGATTTGCCTGGCTCCCTTTACGAAAAAACTCCCCAGGCCATCCCTTCCTCACTCTCCAGACCAGACTCTTCTCTGCCCAGGGCCCATGTTGATTAATTGCCTGATTTAACACCACGGTCTCAGCCTTTAGGGAGAAAGGCAGCACATTTGCTCTTCTCCTTGTGAGAACGGGCCCAATTCATTCTTGTCCGGGCAGCATAATAAATAACCTGCCCCTTTTGGCAGGGAGTTTATTAGAGACTGATGGGACATTTAACAATAACTGGGGGCCCATGATTTATTAGGTAGGGAGGTTCATGGCGTCTCTGAAGACTAGGAATGTGGAATTTAATTGATAAAGCGGCTGTCAGCAGCAATGAGATGCACTCAATAGAATATGCATTTAAGGGATTCTCTTTGGAGCTGTCAGGATGGG